CGCAGCCTCTGCAGCGCCGGTTCGATCCCAGGCTGCTCCCCGGCCACCAGAGGAGGGTCCCACATGGCGCGTAGACCTCCCTGCCGCCCGCTGCTTCCCTCAGCAGTGTATTTCGGTCCTTCTGCCTGCTCTGCTCCCCGCTCTGGCCCTGGTGAATTCTCTCACCCTCCCGCGCTTCTGACTGTACCCAGTGCTGTATAAATAAATAAATAAATACATCTTTAAAAAAAAAAAAAAAAAAAAAAAAAAAGAAATCACTTAAAGCCTCATGTTTCGAGTTCCCATGGTAAAACATGGCAATCACAGCTATTGCCATGTTCCCTGCAGACTACTCACTGAGACAAGTGAGCTTTGAGGAAGAGTTCAATGGCTAAAAAAACCAGACTCTAACACTGTAATAATTTATATTTATGTAGTGTGTGTTATACATACACGCATATCTCAAGCTGTCTTATGTATGTTCTAAATATTCTGGCAAACCTTCATAGCAAAAATGAAACCTTTCCTGTAATCACTTCAACAATTAAATTGACCTTTTTTTTTTTCAGTTTCACAAATTGAATGAACCTGATTAGAGTGTTTTAGGTGTATTTTTGTCCTTAGGAAATCAGTACAGATGGATATTGATTAAAGATAAAGTAATTTAATTCACATATTTAAATACTTACAGTTCTAAAGGGGGTTAATAGTAAATGAGGTCAGTTACTCAGGGATGAGCCTCTGGAATGTTTTAGCATCATCTGTTCTTTTAAGCTGAAATGCATTATTTTTACCAAAGTTTAGCATATATTCTAAGCAAAGATTTACACTGACCCACACTTGTGCCTAAGTATAATAATCACAAAATGTCTAAATAAAACTCTGTTGACCCAGATTCAGATTCATAATTTGAAATAATTCAGTATAAAGTTGTGGTCCTCCCTGGTGGCCTAGGGATTAAGTTTCAATGCTATCACCACTACGGCCTGAGTTCAATCCCTGCCAAGGAGCTGACCCACATGGTGCAGCAGACCTCTCCTGTCTCGCCCACTACTCCCCTCAGCAGTGTATTTCAGTAGATCTGCCTGTTCTGCTCTCCACTCTGTCTCTGGTGAGTCCTCTCAGCCTCAAACCTCTTCTATGCAAAATAAAATAATCTTAAAAAAAATAAAGTTTAGGGAACAAACCGGCGCTGCAGAGGCTGCAGGCAGCCTCGTGGCCCAGCGATCAACATGGTGTGCAGACCTCTCCTGCCGCGCCCGCTGCTTCCCTCAGCAGTGTATTTCATCAGTCTGCCTGTTCTGTTCCCCACTCTGGCTCTGGTGAATTCTCTCACCCTCCCGTGCTTCTGACTGTACCCAGTGCCTGTATAAATAAATCCTTAAAAAAATCTGATTAAAAAATAAAGTTTACTTGACTTTTCTATGAAGTAAATTTGTTAGACAAGTTGAGTAGCATTACAATATATACGAAAATATGATCAATAATCCATATACACTACAATATAGGGATCAAGAGCCAGGTCTCCACAGTTGAATAGGCCTGATTCAAATTCCATCTTGCTGGATGATCTCTAGTGTGACTTTGGTTACTTAACTTCTCAAAGTCTCATCTACAAAATGTATTTCACAATATAAAGCTCATAGGGTTGTTGTGGGCTCCAAAAGAGATACTAATGCATATGCTATGGCTGAGTCATGTCTGCATCAAATTCATATGTTGAAACCCTAATAGGGTGTTTAGAATGTAATTAAAGTTAAATGAGATCATCTGTGTGGGGCTCAAATCCTATAGGATGGGTAGAAGAACTAGGAGGGAGAAGAGCAGGAAGGAGGAAGAAGAAGAGGGAGAAGGAAGGGAGAAGAGAAAGAGGAGATGAAGAGGAGGAGGGGTCTTTCTCTTCATGCATGCACACGAAAAGGAGGACTTGTGAACACAACAAGAAGGTAGCTGCCTATAAGCCAGGAGATGAGGCCTCAGAATGAAACCTATGTTGATCTTGGACTTGCAGCTTCCACACATTTCTTTTGTTTATGGTAAATTGTTATGGCAGTGTGAGCTGACTAAGACTGATTTTGGTACTGAGAAGTGTGGTCCTGTTTTAACAAATACTTAAACACATGGAAGCAGCTTTGGAATGGTATCACTGGTAGAGGCTAGAGGAGTTTGGAGGAACATTCTAGAAGAAACCTCAATTGCCATGAACATAGTGTTATAGAAATATGGAAGTTAAAGGTCATTCTGGTGAAGTCTCAGATAGAAATGAGGAACATGTTATTGAAAACTGGAGGGAAGGCCATCCTTGTTATAGAGGGCAAAGAACACCATTGAATTGTGTTACAGTATTTTGTGGAAGGTACAACTTGCAAGTAATAAAATGGGAGAGATTTCTAAGTGACGTGTTGAAGGAGAAGTTTGGTTCCTTCTGACTGCTTATAGTAAAATGCAAAGGGAGAGAGATAAATTGAAGGAAGAATTAAACAAAAAGAAACTAGAACTTAAAGATTTGGATAGTTCTCAGTCTAACCATATGGCAGAAAATGACAAAGTGTTCTGGAGAGAACACCAAGGGTGTGGCTGGACAATCAGTCCTTAAGGAGATTACCCATGATGTTAACTAGCCATCTCAGCTGCTGCCAGGAATAGTTTGGATCATAATATCTGGGCCAAAGTATTGGACACATTGTCAGTTTGGACCATAGGGAACAAGACAGGAAAATAGAGCAACTTTTGGACTACAAACATACTTTATCTTTCAAGCGAAGGGAAGAATGACCCAGTAAGCAGTTTAGAGATCATCAGGGCTGCCATTCCCGCTGCAGACCCAGAGGGCCTAGGTTGCCTCCAAGTAGGTTTCAAAGGTGGATCAGTGCCCAACAAAGCAGAGTGGGTGGGGCCACCCCTGTAGAGCTGTGGGGGTGACACTGCCACCCAGTGGGGCTGGAGGGCAAAGCACCAATGCAAAGAAGATTATTCTCAAGCTTAACAAAGATCTAATGGAATTTGCCTTATGAGATTTTGGACTTTCTTAGGACTCAATCACTCATTTCTTCCACCTAATTTCTCACTTTTGTAATAGAACTATCTATCCTTTGCTGGTACCGTCTTTTTATTTTGGAAACACATAACTTATCTGGTTTCACAGGTTCACAGCTAGAGAGAAATTTTCTGCTGGGGTGAATCATAGTTTGAGTTGTAATTACCCATATCTGACTAGATTATATTTAGATGTGACTTAAGATTTTAGACTTTAAAATTGATGATGGAATGAGAGTTAAGGCTTTAGGGCTGTTGGGAAGAAATGAAGGTATTTTGCAAGTGAGAAGGACATGGATTTTGGGGACCCAGGGGTAGATTGCTTTGGCCTGAGTTACGTCCCCTCAAATTCATATGTTGAAGCCATGCCCCCTAATGTGACAGTACTTGGAGCCAGACCTTCAGAAGATAATTAAGGTTAAATGAGGTCTTATGTGTGGGGACCTAATCCTATGGGGTTGGTGGCCTTGTGAAAAGAAGAGAGAGGAAAGAAGGCACAGCGAAAGAAGGCAATGGCCTACAAGCCAAGAGACGAGGCCTCAGAATGAAACCTATGTTGCTAGCAACTTGATCTTGTCCTCACAGTCTCCAGAACTGTGAGAAAATGTTTCTGTTTTGTTTGCATCACCTGGTCTATGGTATTTTGTCATCACAGTCCAAGCAAACTAACACAAAATGTACAACTCTTGACTTGTAGTAGAAATCCAGATAGACCATGTACATACTTAACTGAGTAATGGTGGAGAAAACCTATCCCATCTGAAAGAATGAACTGCTAATAAATATTTCAGCAAAAATCCTTTTCAGTTCAAATTATGGTTACTACTATATTATAATACAACATGTGCACACATACTGAGTAATGGTAGAAAATACCGGTTTATCTGAAAGGATGAAATGCTGGCAAATATTTTAGGAAAACACCTTTTTAATTCAAATTATTGTTACCACTATATTATAATATTATAAAGGAACAATGGTAGTAATATTCTAGGATTCTGGTATTATATTATATTCATAATTACTATTATAAATTAATTTAAGTGGGCCTGATAGTACCCTATCCAAGTGGAGTATTTTCACCTTAAGGCTTTCTATGTACTTAAAAATAATTAGACTACAATTTGATCATATACAGTATTGTAAGCCAGTGTTACCTGAGTGAAAAATAATACAACAAAAAATCTACACTTTGTTAAATCCATTTACTCATTCATGATTTTTGCCAGTTACAATGGGTCTCTAGTTTCTTTCTGTCCCAACAGTCTGTCTACTAGACAAATCTTTCAGCGGCTGAGCACCCATATTTAAAAAACTGATGAGATTAAAAAAGGCTTACTGGAAACTGATTAGCCAGATATAATATTCAGGCTTTTCTTCCTATAAGTGCAAAGGTACTGTTATAGGGCAGCCCCGATATTGAACGGGTTGCCTGGCTGTGGGTCCTCACCCGCGCGCTTAAAAGGGACTTATGAATACTCCACTACAGGCACACACAAAAGGTTCATAAAAGGTTTATTTACAAGGGAAAAGGAAATAAGGAAAATGTACAACTCAGGGAGAAAATAGGGAAATAAAGCCTTTAATGCGTCCTACCCGATCCGCCGACCTGGAAACCCAAAGTCACTCTCAGAGCTGGCTGGACGCTGCGAGCTGGTGGAGAGCCAAAATGGGGGACCCCCTCCAAAGCCCACGTGTCTGCCTTTATACCAACTTGGCTGCTGAACCCCACCCTCAGGTCCCAGCCACCTTCCCTTTGGTGGTGATGGGATTTGGAGTTCCCAGTGTCTTTGGCTTTGGCCTGGGGTGGGGGTGGAGTCCACAAAGCCTGTATGGAATTAGCTTTAGGACATCCTTTTCCCCCTAACAGTACCATATATGTGTGTCCCAGTGTATGTAACATTTATATGTAATCGTTAAGTTTAAATATAGAGCATTCATTGTTCTTTTGGAATTTTCAGTAATGGAAGTTTATTCTTTCACAGGTATCAAGGTTACATTTATACATACCGAGTGTCCCAGACAGAAACAGGTTCTTGGAGTGCTGAGGTATAGCTCTTTTATTTATTTTTGCTTCTGTGGGTATCAGGGAGTTGCTTGGAATTTAGGCTGGTTTTATAAAAGAGACATCAAATTATACATTCCAAAAATAATCATCAGATTGAAATCACTAAAGCGCCAGTCCAAAAGTGCTCAGGGATTATTAAGAAGCCTTTAGAGAATTTTGACCCCATCATATGGAAACATTTTAGTGAGTACTGTATGGAAAGGTCTCACTGTGGGAGAAAGATAAAAGAAGTTGAAGGAGTGTGTTAGACGTTTAGTGCCTATGTGAAATGTCAGAAAGCCTATCAAAAATATGTAAAATAATTAAGTCAGCAATTATTTATTGAATGATGGTAATACAAGCTGGGTGCTAGGGGGATTAAACAACACGGCTCCTGTCTTCTAAAAGCCTTTAACACCTCGGGGGAGACACAGTGTGAATTAAACAGCAATGTGGGGGTCTGGATTTCACTCTCCAGTGGATGTGGCTTCTAGGTCTGGTCTCCTCCCTGGGAGATCTATGACCTCTGGGAAGGTTACTTAACTTTTCTTGGAACCGGTTGCTTCATCTGTAAAATGAGCCAAAAAATAGTCCTTTACTCATGAGGGCTCATTCTGAAGATGAAATAAAATAGTGCATATAAAGAAAGCACTTGGCCACAGTGCCTGGCACATAGTAAGCCCTCAAAAATGTGAACTCCCCCAAGTTGCGGAACAATAAGATAGTTTGTAGTCACGTACTAAGCTATCTAACAGGCCTGCAAAAAGAGAGGAGGTTTTTTTTTTTTTTTTTTTTTTTTAATGTGTTGGGGAATCCCTGATTACCCTATGCCAGGAGGCAGACAGATGTCCTAGCGGTGCCTTGTGGGAAGGGCAGGGATAAGTAGAATAGAAATAAAGGGAGCACTGGCAGTGGTTTTCAGCTACGCTGTCTGCAAAATCCTAAAGTTCTTCCTGGGTTGCCTCAGGATGGGGGATTGTTTCAGAGGGAGCGGGGGATGTCCAGTAAGTGGTTATGCTTTTGGGTTCCGATTCATCTGCAACCGGAGTAGTCCCCTTTCATTTTGCTTATCAACAGGGGCTGCACATAAGAAAAATGGGTTCTGATGGCTTTGACGACATATGAAAGTCGCTACACCATTGCAACTGAAACTTTTGACCTCCAAAGCGTTCTTTGATTTTCTGACTCTTTAAAATAGCCCATTTTTATAATGAAAACACTTAATTATATTCTGTTTGAAAACATAAATGCTAATATCAACCTCTATTAACAACTCAATCTGTGCATTTAAGATACACTAACATCTAGACTTAAAAAATTAAAATAGCTCTAACCTTTACAAATTCATCAGTAAACAAAAAAAGCACAAATATTTTGAACTGCTGAGATAAATTGGGGCAGGTTTTCAAACACATTATTTCTTTATATTAGGTTAATTAATACTGTAATATTAATTAGAGGAAAAGCAGTACCACTTTTTAAATCACAATCACACGCTTATTCTTTTTTTTTAAAAAAAAGATTTATTTATTTATACAAGCACTGGGTACAGTCAGAAGCGCAGGAGGGTGAGAGAATTCACCAGAGCCAGAGCGGGGAGCAGAACAGGCAGACTGATGAGGGGAGGGGAGCAGCCGGCGCATCAGGAGAGGTCGGCATGCCATGTGGGAACCTCCCAGGTGGCCGGGATCGAAGCCGGGGATCGAACCGGTGCTGCAGAGGCTGCGGCAGCTTCACAGCACAGCGCTCAACTGCTGCGCCACCAGGGGAGGCCCCTCACACGCTTATTCTTTAAAAATTCCTTGTATTACCATAGAGGAGACCCAAATAAGAAATTTAGATTCATTTCTCATGAAGAATAGCTGTATGTGACAATAGACATATACATTCATATATTATTTGACCAGAAATAGCCCTTCTCCCTAGAGAAGTGGGCTGTAGCTGCTGAAGACTTCGGTATTCTTTATGGAAAGAATCTTAAATTATTAGGGTTTAGCTAGCCTTGTTTTTAAACTTGTTTTCCTCTGTTTCGAGTATGACATCATATGCAGATTGTTACATGCTTGTGATCATGCTAAGGAAGACAACGCTTATTGAACACCAACGCTCTCTCATCCTGTTGTCTGGTTTTGACCCGTGTATGTAATGATATTGTAATTATCTGCACCAAGAGAGCAGAAGATTGGCATGTTCTCTCCAAAGGGAAAACAGATTGTAAAAACTTTTAAGATTTATTTTTAAAATGCATATTGCATTTTTTTCTATCTTCCAAATTTGCTTTCTTACTAGGTTTTTGTCAGGTGAATATTAAACTAGCGTGTGTTCTCAGAGCCCATATCACCTGACTGTAAGAAATTACTCTAGAGCATATTGAAGACCAGCTGTGATCCTAAACATGTTTCCATGGTTAACTAAGAGATGACAATATGGGAAATGTGCAAATTTGAACAATAGCTGAGTTCAGTGACAGGATGGGAGTTGTCACTGGTGCAGTTCTTGTGGTAAATGTACTTTCAAAATTGGGTAAATGACATATTTCTACCATTTTTTTGGAACAAAGCCTTAGTTTGTCACACTGCAGGAAAAATCATGGCAGTAGCACTTACCCTTTGGGCAAATATTGTGGTAGAAATCTAAGTAAGTCTGAGATTTGTTTCAAAGAGTAGAATAAAATCGCACCCTGAATCCACAGAATTATGAAAGCTAAACTTTCAAGTTTGAGCATTGCCTCTTTTAATTCATTTACCTCATGTGACGCAGGCTAAAATTTTGCAAAATTGTTAATTTAGAGAATCGTCCATACAGCGCACTATCATTTATTCATTTGTGCATCGTCAGCAGTACATTGTAAAAAAATGTACTAACCTCCCCCTGCCGACTTTGGTGCCTTTGGGCTCTTCTGGATTTTTGATCATCAGTAGATGCTAAATAATTTTACTTACTAACCTAAACTAAACACAATAAATTAGCTCAGTCGTTTGCCAACGAAACACTGCATTCCAAATTTAAATTGCTTTTACACATCCAGGGCTATTATTCTTCTCTGATCTTGTGGATAATCAAGTGTTAACTGCATGTAAGTCTCCATAAAAAAGATGCTTCTGTTGATAAATGGTTTTACAAGCCACAAGAACAGCTAAAAAGATGTGTGGTTTTAAATCTTTCCACACTGGGGGAGTGTATAGTTTCTCTTCTGTTCGGTGACATCAACTTCAACCTGGTTGGTCTGGTCCTTAATCTGAAAGGCAGGAGACTGGGTCCTGGGACCTAGAGCCAATTCTGTCTCTGCTTATCTGTGTGACCTTGGGCCAGCTGAATTATCTCTTTGTATTTCCATTTTCTTATCTGTCAAATGGGAATAACCAAAATCAGCCAGTAACTGCCAATCTGTGAGGAGATAGTGAGGGCAAGCGATAGGAAAGAGCTTTGAAAATTAAAAAGTGCTGTAAGGAAGATATAAAAGAGGTTTTACCTGTGAGCTGCCATTGCAATTGGGAGATTCTGTCTTGGGACCAAAGAACTGTCTGGACTCCTGTGAGAATGGTTATGTCTATTTGGTCTCAATAGAGTTCTGGGGAGATGTTTGACTATAACTGTGGAGCTGAGTGTGAGTTCTGCTTTATCTACTGAGGTTCCTAGCTGTGTCAGCCTTTGAGTAGATGCTAATTTAAAGCAGAAAAAGAAACTTGTCAGTGAAAAGTTTCTTATCCCAACATAGGACATGCCTGAGTTGCTATGGACAGTGTGTTAGCTTCAGTTTTCAGTCTAGTTGACAGAAGTCTGCTTGCCAGCCTTCATGTTTTCTCATTAAATGCTAACAAACAAATAGCTCCCACCTCAAAAATCTTCCAGATGGAATAACTGAAAAACAGCCTTTCAAAAAAAAAAAAACAAAAAAAAACACAACCAAACTAGTCATTGTTCAGTGCTCACTGCAATACAATTTTATTTCACGTTTTGAGCTAATGCTAAGAGCTTGGCTCATAAGCTCTTGCAGGAAATTGTTGTTGATTTCAGGCAGTGTCTTTGCAAGAGAATCGATGTCAGGAAAGGAATACATTTTAAGAGTTACCTGCAAGTAATGATCTCTTCAAAAATGAACAAATAAAGGTGACCTCATATAGAGTTTCATTTTGGTGTCATGGAGAAAACCTTATCACAGTGAAATGTTGACAGAGCAATTTGGGGGAAGATGGGGGAAGTTTACCAAGGAGGAAAATATTTAATGTGAAGCATGAGGCAGGACGTGTTGTGAGGTAAAAGAGTATGAGGACTAACTAGCCATGCATTGTGTGTACCGTAACAGTCAATTTTTAATTTCCTGTGTAGCTTTTCATATCGTGGCGTGAACACAGCGAAGATGGGTTGTTGTTGGCTTTTTGTTTTTGGTTCCTCAGGCTTTTTATTAATGACCTGTAGGATCTGTGTTTTTTCTGTGTTTAACTGCCTCCTCTCTGTTGGTGAATTCATTGTGGGTAATGGCCTGTATACCCTTAGAGGTTCGGGCTGTATGATGGGTAGCAGGCAGGAAGGGCAGGGCGATGAGCACGAGCCTGTACAAACTAATACCACCCTTGGGAGACCTGAAATGACAGCTCATTAGCTTCTCTTGCAGGGAAATTCAGCCAACCAAGTAAGCGCTTCTGGAATGTTGTTTTTCCTTCTTCCTTATGTTTTCAAATATTTGAACAAGTTTCACAAAATGTTACCTCTTTAAGTACCCCTCACACATTTTGTAGGCCTTTTTGTATCATTATGAGGTAGGTGAATAATTCACTTGGCCTTTTATTTTCCAGACAGCACCTGGGGTACATAAAAGATGTTTCCGGAAAATAAAAAATCTCATTTCAGCATTTCAGAAGCCAGATCAAGGTATTGTAATACCTCTGCAGTACCCTGTTGAGAAGACCACCTCAGCTAGAACACAAGGTACTACAGTATGCTTTACTGTGAATTTTTTACAGGGCTTGGAAGTTCTGGGTTATGAGTCAACTCACCCATCACCATAGAGGTATAAGAAAGTTCTGTGAGAAAAATGCTATGACACGCCACAGCTTGGACAGCAGACACTGAGAGGAAAAATAGATGCGAGGACTACTAAAAACCTACTACAATCCACTTCAAACGACTGCAGGCTAGGGTCAAGAGTCCTGGGGAGAGTCCTCAAAGGGACATGTTGATAGTTGAAATCAGCATCTCTCCTGGCAGATTATGCTGCTGTACTTTGACTGGTACCCAGTTCAAGAGCCCATCATAGGGCCTCCCTGGTGGCGCAGTGGTTGAGCGCTGGGTTGCGAAGCTGCCCGCAGCCTCCGCAGCACCGGTTCGATCCCCGGCTGCTCCCCGGCCACCGGAAGAGGGTCCCACATGGCGCGCAGACCTCTCCTGCCGCCCGCTGCTCCCCTCAGCAGTGTACTTCGGTCCTTCTGCCTGCTCTGCTCCCCGCTCTGGCTCTGGTGAATTCTCTCACCCTCCCGCGCTTCTGACTGTACCCAGTGCTTGTATAAACAAACAAACAAACAAACAAACAAACAAACAAACAAACAAACAAATTAAACGAGCCCATCATACGGTTTAAGGCATTCAACCCATAGGAGTGCTTCCCAAGCCTTCCTAGCTGCTCCCTTTATTCCCTAGGGGGTTCTTTCTCTGGCCCAGTCACAGAGGTCAAAGCTAATACAGGAAAAATATTGGGGAGAGGAGGAAGAGGATGGAGGGGTGGAGGAAGAGGAAGAAGAGAAGGGATGAGCTTGGAAGCACTCATGACATCATGCACTGGAGAAAAACAAGGTGGTACTTTTAGACTGATCTTGTTTTACTTCTAAATAGACAATTGAAAAAACTTTAAAAAAGAAGAAGAAGAAAATAGCATGAGAAAGTACATGCAGCCAGCAAATGGAGAGGGAACTCTTGACATGCAATGTGCTAGCTGTAACAGTTTAATAGAACTCTGCAAAGATATTAAAAATTCTATGAATCCACAACATTGTAACCTTTCATGTGAGTTGCATTGTCCCCCCCAGTCTCTTTTGTGGATACATAACTTATATTTCACTTCATTAATTCAGATATGAATAATTTGAAAGATGGGACAATTCAGAGACCACCTCGGTTGTCCTTTACCTTTGCTTAGTGAACTATATTTTCCCTTCAGGGATGGAAAGGCTAATGTTGGCCTGGGCTGCACGATCCAGATTTCTGAATTTGTGGTGCTTGATTTAATAAAATGTTATTGTAGCAAAGGAAATTAAATTAATAGACTTTATTATTCCACTGGCACAAATTGTTACATCTCCAGAGCAAAGCTATGTTAGCCTATGTGTCAAGCTAAAGGACTGAATACTGGCAATCACTTCCAATGTTCCAATGCTAGCAGCTATCAGACACATGAGTGTTTACACACCTATTGAAAGGCTTAATCATTTGTCGGGATCTGGAGAATATGCTTTGATTAAAACAATAAATATTCATGATAAAAGAAAAGGAGGTGTTACATCCTTTTTTTTTGGATAGGGACCCAGACTCAGGTATAAACTTGTAATTAAACTCAAGTGGTGAATTAATGTTATAAAGTTAGACTTTATAATAGAAATGTAAATAGATGCCCAGTTTACCAATTCGCTAATTGTTCTTTTCTGCTCAGTATTTCATTCTGTGTAGCTCAATTTTATTTTAATCAAATTTTATTGACTTGCCATTCATTTTTAAAATTATGTAATTTGGGGGTACAACTTCACCCTTCCATATGTACACATGCTTCACTGGCCCTCCACCAAGCTTCGCTGTTAATATACTACCTTTATCCTCCACACTCCTCAACATCACCAAGTTTTTCACAAAGAGTATAACTCAGTTTTATTTTTATTATTTTTTAGTATATGTGCTGCCGAAGCGAGCACTTATTATTTTTTAAAAGATTTATTTTTATTTATTTATGCATACAAGAACTGAGGTACAGGAGCCTCCCTGGTGGTGCAAGGGGTTAAGATGTAGCTCTGTGAAGCTACCTGCAAACTCTGCAGCACGAGTTCGATCCCTGGCCAGGGAGGTGACCCACGTGGTGCAGCAGACCTCTCCTGTCTCGCCCGCTGCTCCCCTCAGCAGTGTATTTCAGTCAGTCTGCCTGTTCTGCTGAACACTCTGTCTCTGGTGAATCCTCTCACCCCCCCCCCACCTCTGGTCTGCACCCCAGTTCTTGTATGCATAAATAAATAAATCTTTAAAAAAAAGGAACTGAGGTACAGGCCAAAGGTGTAGGGGGTGAGAGGATTCACTGGAGACAGAGTGGGGAACAGAACAGGCAGACTGACTGAAATACACTGCTGAGGGGAGCAGCTGGTGAGACAGGAGAGGTCTGCTGCGCCATGTGGGTTTTTCCCGGGCCGGGGATGGAACTCGTGGCTGCAGATAGCTTCACAGTGCTGTGCTTAACCCCTTGCGCCACCAGGGAGGCCCCTAACTCAGTTTTAAATACTAGTCACTTAAGATATATCATTGAATTGTATCTTTGTGAGTTTTATGCATTTGGAATTTTATGATTGTAAGTTCTAGTTAGCTTATACTTTTAGTAGCTTTTAAGTTTATGTTTTGTTGATTTTTGTGATTATTTTTCTTTAGGGAGAAGAGAAGATCCTGATGTCTTCCTGAAAGCACCATGAAGAAAAATAAAACAACTTGTATCTTATTTTCAATAATTTAAATATATGCTAAGTCTTATATATATATTGTAGATAATACAGTTCAGTGAGCTACAAATGTATCTCTAAAGCCATCCTACTCCTGTCATGGAAGCATCCAGCATGATGTTGAAGCTGAAATGGACTTTGTAGATAATGAGGAGCTTCGGAATGAGGATTGGGAAAAATAATTCTACAGGTTATTTGTGGTTATTATATTTACAAATGGAAAACAATTTTAAATGATACTTCATAACAGATTAATGTAAATTCTTGCCAAAAATAAATAAAAACAATCCCCAATTTCTCTCAAAAGCACACTTTTTAGTGAACTATTTGCTAGGTACTGATTTTAAAATGTCTTGCTTGATTGTACAGCAGGAAGCTGGTTGTGTCTCCTGCGTTTCTGGATGCAGTTCTACATTAGGAATTATATGCTCTCCATTAGCTACGGAGTCATGGGCTCTTGTGGGATTTATGAAGCTGTGCATTGTGTGCTAAAAACCAGTGCTAGATAAAAAGTGAAGAATTTCTATTTGATTCTTAAAGCAACCGTCTTACCTAGTGTTCTGATATTAGACAAGTTCCCAGACCAGTCTGGAGTTTGAGACTCCTGTAACTTAAAATATGCTCTAACTCCTTCTAGTTGATGTGATAGTATTTGAAATTATAGTATAAATCCAGGGAAGCAGATTTTTCTTCATTTCAGTTCTTCAAGTTGTTTACCTCTGCCCCAGGTCTTGCTACTATGTGTGTACCCCATTTTGAAGGGAGGAAGCAGTGGTTTACCAGTTGTGGCCCAGGAGTCGCAGATTTACAAGCAGCCTCCTTATTAAGCAGCCCTAGAAAACCATTGGAAAGCTTATGGTGAAGTTGATTTTAATAGATTCCGAGTGATTGCAACCAAGTGAGAGCCAAGATTTTAGTGACAGAGGATTGCATTTTCTTTTTACATTTATATTTTTATGATGAATGCAATTTGATTACATGTCAAATTGCTTTAGGGCTTACAGAATTCATTCACTCCAAACACAATGAAGCTGGGGTAGAGAAGTAAAAACACCTGGTCCCTGCCCTCAGGCAGCTCACTGTTTAGTTGGATGAGAAAACAATTAGCCATAAAGGACAACAAAAGACAGTCACAAGGAAGAGAGAAAAAAGAGATAAAAGGTGATAAATACTTGGTAAGGGAGGATCTCAACAGTGCTGGTAGATCTATCTTACAGGGGCAGAGTGAGTCAATGCACAAAAGAAGGCAAAGTGTCCTTGTAAACGGAATTCCTGGCTGTATGGGAGTGGTGAGCTTGATTAGTATTAGTGAACTCTCTCCAGAGACCAAACTCCTCTCTGTGTGCGGGCAAGACCTGATTTCTGAGCCCTTAATGTGGATACTAAGGGAGTGCAAAGGTCGAGTAGTTCCACAATAAATGTGTGGTTTACCACTTCAAGAAGGAAAAGCATCATTTTAACTTGTAAAAGAATTCAGAAAGGTGACTTTCAAAAGAAAATGCTTAATTTCGAATTATTTATACTGTGGGTTTAAATTTTAATCGATTTAACAAATCTTTACTCTCTAATTTGGAATAATCCTAAACATGTGAATTACGTTTGCATGTTCCTTTACTAGAGCCTTTTTTGAAAAAAAAAATGTTTTGAATTATGGATGCTCTTTCATTTTAATAAAGTCTTTGAAAGCTTTATTTACCTAATTTGTCTCAAAATATTCCATTTAAAAATATCCATGTCTAGGTGCTATTAATATACTAAATAAAGCATCGAGGGCCACCTTGTTTATCTTATTGAACTGACTCCCTGAAAAAGGTAAGTGCTTTTTTGATTTTGCTGTCAAACATCCCAGTTAATGCTTCTAGCCACTGTCTTATTTTGCTGGCCTTTTATTCATCACGTTTTTTTTTTTTTTTAATATGCGCCCCCCCCCCACCCCACCGGCAGCATGAACATCCTTGCTATTTCCCAGTACCTAATAGTTTGCACCTTTACAGGTCATATCCTTGCTGTTTCTAAAGTATTGCCATGTTAACATATACCTGTAAGATGCTGAGTCAAAGTAGAAAAATGCACGTATATTTCCAAGTGTGTCAGCAAGCCCACAAGGAACATGACAGTTTATCAAAAACTTGTTCATTTCCTCTGAAAATTTGTTCTGAAGAGATAAGGTCAGTTGGGAGACAGCTTAGGTAATGGTCTGATTGGCTGTTATAGGCAAGGGTCCCTATGTGGTATATAGGTAGAATAAGTCTACAGAGAATGACTCTAATTAAGTCTTCTGCTATAAATAGAGGGCTGGATTTAAGATATTCTTTCGGGTGGAATGGGTAGAGAATTAAAAATGTGAGAAACAGCTTTAAAATCCATTAAGAATGCTTAGACATCAGCTTAGGTTTTATTTAATTCATTGTATTAAGTTCAGAATTCAAAGTCTATTAATAATAGGGCCCAGATTTGACCTTGAGCATTTAAAGGTTATAGGATGCCTAGTTTTCCTGTTAGTGGGCTATAAATTCAACTTTGTCACCTATGTTTGCCCTTGCAGTAAATGGGATGCCATAATTTTGTAGTTTGCAGCTAGGAGTGAAATTAAAGTACCCAGTTTGGACACTTTCATAACTTGGGGTCACTGACCAAACTTCATCACTAGATCATTTACCTTTGCAATGCATATTTTTATGCAGAAAGATACAAAAAGCCTGATGGACAGGGAGAGGCCATCAGCATAAGATATGACACTTGAATTTCCTTTTCAGCTTAGTCACTGATTATCCATGTGCCATTAGGTAAATCGGTCTGTTGCTATTATTCATTTGCTGAACAGAAACAATTAAGCTCCTGAACAATTAAGTTGCTGACCTCACAGGATTATCGCAGCACTAAAATTATGTAAATTTAAAGTAGTGATATTACTAAATATTTAAATAGCATTGATATTCAAAAATCTCTAAAAGTGTCAGAGCTCTTACCTCTTTCTTTCTTTTTGTATTCTCTATATTTTGAAGAAAATATTTTGAGGTGGTACTAGTGTCTGCCACCCCCCCACCCCCCAATTATTTTTGGCTGGTGGGTTGCATTGAGACTGTCAGAATTGCCTTCTGGTCCATGAATCTTTTTACTGTATCTGTGTATTTATCAGTGAAGAAAAGGGCAGCGGGGTGTTTTAGACTGGTGTAAATTCCAGGATTCCAAGCAAGTATCAGGAACAGGCTGTTTGGGCTGTAGATGCCCCATTACTATCAAGTTCAATTGTGGAAGATCTGTTGGCCAGCGTTCCTGTGCCACTCATAAATGTCTTCTTGGGGAAAACAAGGGCCAAATGGGGCCTTCCCTGGTGGCACAGCGGTTGAGCTCTGGGCTGCGATGCTGCCTGCAGCCTCCGCAGCGCAGGTTTGATACTCGGGTTTGATCCCCTGGCTGCCGGCGAGGGTCCCACGTGGTGCGTAGACCCGCCCCCTGCCGCCCGCCGCTCCCCTCAGCAGCGTGCTTTGTCAGTCTGCCTGTTCTGTTCCCCGCTCTGGCTCTGGTGAATTCGCTCACTTACCCTCCCGCGCTTCTGACTGTACCCAGTGCTTGTATAAATAAATAATCTTTTTTTTCTCTTTCACCACGGCCTTTCCACGCCATTCATTGTTTTTTCTTTTCCAATGCATTTGGGTACCCTGGTCTCCTAGCTCTCCTCTGTCTGTGTTCGGCAATTCTTTGTTTTCTTTCTATTGCTGAGAAAGGCATTGACAGGAGAGAGAAACCTTTTTTAAAAATCATAGCCTAGAGGTGTTTAAACTTGCAACAGCCACTCTTCTTTTTTTATGGAATGGTCATTTGTGTCAGAGATCCTATTTGTATGAAAAATAAAAATGAAGAGCCATCTGCTTAGGATTAGTGCCTTTTGGATTTCTGCACCTACATTTTCAAGATGATGCACTTTTATCATTTGCTGTTAGAGAGCCACTTTTCATATCTCAGGTGACCAGGCTGACTGGAGAATGCAGTTTGGCGCAGGAATAAAATGGGACACAGTGTTCATTGGCAATTTTATTTTTTAAAAATGAAATATTCAAAGTACTTTTTTTCTTTCAAATATCGACACATAATGTTTAACTTTAAATATTTACAGCATGTTGTTGTGATGCTCTTGTAGAAAAATGCATGCTTCTGGCCTGAAAGCCAGAGCAAAATGCAAAAGACCATTTAACTGCAGCCAGAGAACATGAACCTGTACAGTATCCAGTCACTTTTCAGCACAGGAGTGAGAGCAGGAATACAGAATTGGAACCTATTGTTTCCTAGCAACATGGCCCGGGCCATTATAACACAATTTTCAGTATGATTAGAACCTCTAACTGTTGTTACATAGAAACTGAAAATCTCGGCATACACTGTAAACACCTTTACTTCTCATGAGAAAGTAAGCAGCTAAAAAGAATATTTTTCTGACGTAAAGGCTATACTTCTCCTTCCCACCTTCTCTCTTACTGATGCTTTTGCCAGAAGAAGAGTAAAGATTTAGACATTGTCATGATTCATACAAGTAAAATATTTTTCAAGGACACAATCTGATATACTAACATTTATTTAAGAGGTTAAAGTCCACCACTAAATCTAAGGAAAGATTTTTAACTGCCAAACACATTTCCTTTGACGAATAATGTAAGATGACAACTGCCAAGACAAAATCCACAGCAAGTTTAACTCTAACTATTTTCAGTTACTGTTTAGGAAGTAGTTTCTTCTTACACACAGTAATATATTTGGTCCTTAATAGCTTTCACATGAAGGACACACTGAAATAACAGTCACTATTTTGTGGTTGAATTCCTTGTTGTTGTTTGTTGTTTTCTGTTTTGCTTTTTTTTTAGTTTAGTTTTTTTTTTTATTTTTTGTGGGGTTTTTTGTGTTTTCTGGTTTTTTTGTGTGTGTTTTCTTTTTCTTTCTTTTTTTTTTCTTTTTTTTTTTTTTTTTTTTCTTTTTTTTTTCTTTTTTTTGCAGAATAAAGAACCTTACAGAAGGCTGTGGAAGAGCAGTCTGAGATCTGAAGTACTAGTCAGGTCAGCTATATGTATGTGAATTCCTCCAAGCAAACAAGAATGTTGCATTCAATCTGTAGCCTTCTGTTTTTCCACAAGCTTTAAGACACTTAAATCTCTATAGAAGTTTCTTTCAATACTTGGTTACTATACTTTTGCTTCCATTATCACTGAAGTCCCTTACAATTG